CACACACACACACACACACACACACACACACACACACACACTCACACATGTCTGAGCAGTGTTGTGCGGGAAAACTGAGGATCCCAAACTGGCAACAGTTTTGTTGTTGTTGTTGTTGTTTTGTTCATGTGATTTCAGTAAACAAAAATTAATCGTTGTACGTTAGGAATAAAACGTCACTTTAGTCTGCTACAAGCTCAGAACAGAGCTTATTTGATGCGTTCGAGGAACACAATGATTCTGGAAGTCTGAATTTGTCTAAAAAATTATATAATATAAGTCAGGTAGGAAGAAGGAATGAGTGTCATCAAAGAAAGAAAGAGAGAGAGAGAGAGAGAGAGTGAGAGAGAGGGGGGGGGGGTGGGTGCTGTAAGGTCTAAAATATACCCGTAAAATGACAAATAAAGAATGGTGTACACAATCTTTTAGACATGTGTTAGGTATTTAAATTTTATTTCATCAAAGGACACCGAATGATACAAACATGTTTGAGGCCATGCTATATAATTTTAGGTAGTATGCAGTTTTGCAAGCATGTGAAAAACACAATAGTACTGTTTTTGAAATGGTGTGTTATTTATTTCTCCAGGCATCATTGTTAGTCCTCTCAATGTTATATGTGTGGTGTGTTTCTCCAGCTACCTCCAGTCAAGCACAAGCTCTTGCAGAGAATGGGGCCATATGGGATGAATTAGCCAGTGATGAAGAAGAAGGTGCACCCTCTATATTTGTTACTACCCCCACTTCTAAAGGCAGCAAAGCAGCAAAAAAACACTCCGATGAAGGAACCAGCAACTCAGAAACAGTGCCAACCTACCTCAATTTTATAAGGTAAATGTGATGTTTTCATTGTGTTCTTACTCTCTGCTTGTCCCAATCTATTCTGCTCAAATTATATTCTGGGGAGTAGAGTGTTTTAAAAGTGGTTACTTTTTTCTTCCAGGGTCTGTCTCATAATCAGGTCTACCAGAGTGCCTAATAGAATAGCCTGTATACTTAGTATCTGCAGTTTCTCTGCTCACCAGTGTCTTTACTAATGGGTGTAATTTAATGTATTGTTGTTTCTCTCTTCACCAGCTGTGTGTACTCAGTTAGTATCGTATACTAATGGGTTTAGCTTATTTTTGTTTCTCTTCTCACCAGTGTGTATACTTATTAAAAATTGTTATTATTACTTATAAGAGTTGTTTTAAATCGCAAATATATTTACACTGAATTTTAATATTTTAGCATTTTAAAGTCAAATAGTTAACCAATCGTGCAGTGAACTTTTGCGAAAGTAAACAACTTGTGTTTCGCGCGCTCATATGACCTTAGCAGTTGCGAGCGCCATATACTACTACTACTAATGTGTATACTGAGTTTAGTTTACTGTTGTTTCTCTCCTCATCAGCTACGCTACCAGCCGTCCTGCCACCTTCCGACCTCGCATGTTACTCGTGGGCTGCGAGGGTCAGGGTCAGACCACCTACATTGCACCAGCAGTAGTGCACAAGATGGAGAGTTTACCTGTGCATGTTTTAGATCTGCCTGCTCTCTACGCAGTCACCGCCAAGACTCCAGAGGAGTCATGTGCTAATGTAAGTCGGGGGGGTGGGATATTGTCTACTTTATGTTGCTGGCTTTTTGTTTGAACGTGATGATGCTTTAATGGTTTTGTACATCTTGTTTGGGGATGGGGAGGCCATCTTTGAAAGTTTCTTAAGTTGACCCTTCCAGCCCCAGCCATTTTGTGCACTCCTTAACCTTAGTCCCAGCCAATACAATAGTATTTCAGAAAAAGAGGCATGCGTTCTAAAAAGTGATGTATCTTTGTAATGAGATTTAGATATAACATATAACAATGCTTAAAGGTAAATGAACAAATGTTATGAAAATTAAAGTTTAATTAGGTTTGCTAATTTTGAAAAATGCGCAAATTCGGTACCCCCTGAAACTGAGAATATATGCTCCTGGGATGGTGGGAGGTACAAGAGCTGCTGAAAATATACGTGCATAGGGCTGGAAGGGTCAAAACCTGATATCCTGCCTTTTAAGCCTGTCACTTGTAATAGTTTATGAAACAGTTACCCGCTCTCTCACTAACACACAATGCAAGATGTTATAAAGTTTTGATTTTCATCTCCCCAGGTGTTCCATGAAGCCAAGCGCAAGTGCCCCAGCATCGTGTACCTTCCTTACATCAACCAGTGGTGGGAGGTGATGGCAGAGACGCTGCGGGCCACCCTGCTCACTCTCATTCACAATCTGGACCCCACCCTGCCCCTGCTCCTATTGGCTACCAGTGAACAGCCTTACCACACCCTAGACCCAATGGTGGGTACCTCAGCATTGCTAAGCTTTCTATTGTTTTCTTTGCCTGTGCCCTTATGTTCCTGAGTCGGTAGTAATAAGAACAAAGGGTTCCTTTTTAGTTGTCTTTTGTCCCCCTGATAGCTGACATGACTTCACAATAACTCCCTTAGCTGTCTCTGTTCGTTTAGATGACATTTTGGCATGTGTTATGAAATCCTTGTTTGAGGTATATTTTTGGTTGTCTTTCAAAACTTTTTTCCTGACATAAGTGTAAGTGGGTGGTTGGCGGGTGCTCTGGTGTGGTTTGCTCCTTCTTTCCTATCAAACATCTATCGTCCTTATCTCCCCTTCTTCTTTTTTATGTTTG